TAATGATCAAAATTAGAACTGAAGAGTTGGCAAAATATCAACAATAAGCAGAAAGAAGCATAATTGGGTGAGGACTGGGCAACTGTAACAAAACACTGGGTTTCTAGGTATGAATTTAACAAAGGCCTGTCGTGAATTCCTCCCCAATGACCATTCCCCAAAGAATGACTGCCGGGGGTTCCACTGTGTCATTCATAAAGTCATCTTTCTTTTGTGATGCACAAATGATTCTTCCCCTTCAATCCCATTTGAGCCATTGCATGGGATAAATGATGCAAATCGTCAAAAAAAGAGGAAAGTTGGATGGTCAACACTGTGGTCAACAAAGGACAAATGAGGTCACAGTCTAAAGACCTATGTGAGTGACATCACTAAGTGGCAGGATCAGAGAGATGAGCTTATTCCCCCTTCCCAATGCAAGTAGACAACTTTCCATGAACAAAAACCCCATAGGAAATGGGAATAAGTACCATGAAGACAAACAGTAATACAGACACAAATAGAGGAGAACTGTACAGAAAGGATGAGTGGAAAGACTGGGTGAACAAATATATTTGAAGATACCTACAGTCAAAAACAAGGGTCAGTGTTACCTCTAGCTTCCACTGTGCTTCTGCTATCATTGATCCTAGTGGCCGGTTCTACAACAAAACCTGGAAATGTGTGTGTTTAAAAACGACAGAATGCCTTGGCCAGTATGGCTCAATTGGTTGGAGCATCGTCCGGAGTACCAAAGGGTCAAGGATTCAATTCCCCGTCAAGGCACATATCAGTATGTGGGTTCCATTTCCAGTTAGCTTGTGTACAGAAGGAAGCCGATTGATGTTTCTCCCTCACTCTAATGTTTCTATCTCTCTCTCACTCTCCATCTAACTTCCTCTCTATCTGAAAGCAATAAAAATATAAAAATAGGAATTTCAATTTTTTGGTGTGATGGTAAATGGGATTGCTTTTTGAGTCTTTTTTTCTGTAAGTTCACTATTGGTGTATAGAAATGCCAAAGATTTCTTGGCATTAATTTTGCATCCTGCTACATTGAGCAATTCATTTATTACATCCAATAGTTTTTTGATGGAGTCTTTAGGGTTATTTTATCATGTGCAATATTTCATCTACACATAAGGACAGTTTTATTTCTTCTTTTCCAATTTGGATGCCTTTTATTTCTTCTACTTGTCTATTTGCAATGGCTAATACTTCCAGTACTATGTCGAACAGGAATGGTTAGAGTGGGCATCCCTGTCTTGTTCCTGAACTTAAGGCAAATGGTTTTAGTTTTTGCCCATTGAGTATGATGTTGGCTGTGGGTTTTTCATATATGGCTTTTATTATGTTGAGGTATAATCCTTCTATTCCCACCTTGCTAAGAGTTTTTATCAAAAATGGGTGTTGGATTTTGTCAAATGCTTTTTCTGCATCAATTGATATGACTATGTGGTTTTCATATTTCAGTTTGTTTATGTGATGTATCACATTTATCGATTTGCGGATATTGTACCATCCTTGGATCCCTGGGATAAATCCTATTGGTCATGGTGTATGATCTTTCTGATGTACTGCTGGAACCGATTTCCCAAGTTCGGGTCACTGGTGACAGTGAGGGTCTTACCCAGGGAGGATAGAAGTTCAAAGTTCTCCAGCATCACATTCAGGTACAGCTGTCTCTGATCCTCATCAAGAAGGCTCCATTCCTCCCTGGAGAAGTACAGGGCAATGTCCTCAAAGGTGACCTCAACCTGTCAGAATTGAGACAATGTAAACCAGATCTGTCTCTCTGAGAACCAATAATTCCAGTCCTTACACCCTTCCCCAGCCTCCTGCTCCTCCAGAGCGCCTGGGAAGTGTGGACACCAGGCCCTAACGCCAGTGCAGGCTGCTCTCTCATTACAGTCCCATTACTCACTGCATTGTCCTCAGGAGAGCACAAGGATTGGGTGGGAAGGGAAGGTAGAGGGCAATGCCAATTAAGGTCTGGGCGATGCCTGCAGGGCCCCAGCCTTCCTGCCAAGCAACACCACTGCATCTCCTAGATCCTGCCTCCAAGACAAAGCCAAGCCTGGGTTTATGCTTCCCCTTTAAGTCCCCACACCAGGTCCCGGGACCATCAGCTCACACTTCCTCCAGATGTGCTCACCACTGGGTAATGTTTATCCCCTTCCCATGTTCAGACCCCAGGTTCACTCCCTCAGCTCTGCCCTCTTCCTGCTCCAATGCCACCGGATCTCGCTGGACTCACCCATGAACTTGGCATGTGGCGTGTGGAGAGCTTGGAGTCCAGCCGGATCCAGGACCACCCCAGGTCCCGGATGGACCCACAGCCGGGAAAGCCCCGAATGAGGCTGTGCCGTCCTCCCTGCAGCCTCTGATCTTTCCGTCAATACTCACAGCCACATCCTCAGGGACCTTCAGATGCAAGTCACCCCCGTCCTCTCTGCCCTGCACTTGCTGTGTCCTCAGAAGACACAACACTCCTCTCTCCCCTCCACCTTCCTCACGGTCCTCCACGCGGGACGGAGCTGCAGGACGGGACAGGCGCCCTCCCCAGGCTGTGGTGTCTGTGTGAGGAGGCGGTGAGGGCCTGGGGGACTCGAACTCACCTCAGCCCGTCTCCTCGGAGGGGGCGCCGCCATTGCCCTCTGTGGGCTGAGCGGGTTCGGGAGTACAAGCCGCTGCAGGAATGGCGGTCCCTGTCCCGGCCCTGGCGTGGGTTCTTGTGGCGACTCTAACGTTCAATCCCAAGTTGAGGTGTGAGCACCACTGGAGGCTGAGACCATTAGCTGTGAGGCGGGGAGCACCACACTACGGCCTTCTCCACGGGACTGTGGACTTGGGAAACCTCACAGCCTGACACAAAAACCTGAGAAGGCAAAATCCCGCCACAAGGACTCCCCATCCCGCCCTACGGAAGAGGCCAAAGGGAAATGCCTTTTCTGAGCCTCCATTGGTTCAGCCTGGAGGCATTTCCTGCATAGCCTTCTGGGTAATGTAGTTTCTTCGCTCCAAGGTCAGGATCCTGTATCTCCTCAGTTGCATCCAGGACTGTATTAAGGGGCACAGAGCTCAAGAACACATTAAGAATACATTAAGTGTTCTCGAGGTGCATCAGGGGAGTTGATTTCCGGAGCAAGTTTGATTCTAGTGCACATGACTGGCTTCCTTTAGGGGCTGGTTTTGCATATCTTTCCTCAGGACCTGCTCATTCTGAATGGCAGGCATAGTTTCTTCATTCAGGACATTTGGCATGTGTCTCCTTCAGGTTCACTGTAACTTGCAGAGGTTGCTCACGATTCTAATTCGCTGTAACCTGCCTCCATTGAATAGATTGTACAAAGTGAATGGCACAAAACAGACACTCATACTTTAAAGGCATCTGCTTCTGATGCCAACCGAAGTGCAGCTCTGCCTTAGCTGCAGTGGGGATAGGATGGCCAAGAGACAGGTGAGAAAATGCTCAAAGTTACTTATCATCAAAGACACGAAAATTCAAATAACAATTAGGTATCACCTTACAACTGTCAAAATGGTGGCCATCAACAAGTCAACAAATGGAAAGTGTTGGCGAGGATGTAGAAAAAAAGGGAGCCCTAGTACACTGCTGGTGAGAATGCAAACTGGTGCAGCCATTATGGAAATCAGTATGGAGTTTTGCCAAAAATTTAATATGGAACTGCCACTGGATCCAGTGATTCCACTTCTAGGAATATATCCTGTGGGAAACCTCCTGTTGCCTTCACTGGCAGAAAGGTGTGGACAAGGAGTCTGGAAGGCTGGTGACCCTTGACCCCTGGCAAAGGTCATAGCTCCACACTCACTGTTTAGTCCAGACAATGGTAGCTGAAGTAACTTCCCACCTATAGTCATATAAAACCTTAATGATAAGATAAGTCTGCTTGTTACTGGAACTTGCCTGCCTAAGGGGTATGGGTATATCCCAAACTGAATAAAAAGATGGCAAGGCCTGAGCATAAGAGGAGTCTATCCTGGAGAAACCAACATGGCAGCATAGGTAAACACCGGAAATTGTTGCCTCGCACAACAAATTCAAAAATAGCCGAAACCGG